GGGATTTGTGTGGATTAACCAGCAGATTTGCCTCGTGTGATAACGTCCCAAGATTACCCACACAGTATACTAGCCGATACTCATACAATCTGTTCCTACAATGTAGTTCATTTACCACCATACACGGTGTCCCTTCTGCCTTCTCTCCTTCCTATTATAGCCTACCAGTACTGTCATGCAAATGTTATTTAGAAGTTATTCCAGTGAACCATCTAAGTAATATAAAATAAATGCAGGAATAAAATAAATAATGGGCAAATACTTGTAGGGAAATTAAAAAACAATCAAAGTAGGAAGTTGTGTAAACAGGAAACAGGAGTTTAAAACTATATTCTTATGGTCCCTCAGCGTGTGACTCCAAGGATGGAGTGAGAGAAGAATTTTTTTTACCTGTTGTTTCAGAAAGGTCTACAGCTGGTACTTTGACATTAGAAAGGACAAAAAGAGACATGTCAGGGAGGTGGTGTGAGAGAATATGGATGTGTAGAATATAAATCCTTCCCATTCCCCAGATACTTTCCCCAGACAAGTCCTGGAATAGTTCATTTTCTTTCTATTGAGAAAAATGGCAGGGAAAGTGTATGTGTTTAAAAATGCTGTTAACACCCTTCACCCAAGCAGAAGGGAAAGAGAGGTATTATCTTTACCAGTAAATACCATGCCATTCCACTGCTCTTTAAAAACAGAATATATACATGGTGACAATAACATTTCTGGAGTACTTTCCATGGTTATATTTTGAATATTGGAGTAAGTTTGTCTTGGAAACTCTAGAGATCCTCCTTTGATTCAACATTATGTACACCATTTTGCAGTAGTATAAGTGGGGGGTCAGGTTCATCAGAGTCAGATAATCTGAAGTTGAGATCCTGCCAAAGCTTTTGTTTTAGAGAAGGTTGTTAATGATATGTTAAACTGCGTAATAAATACATTCTGGGAGGAAATGAAACAGGCTCCCAACATACATGAACCAAAACAAGCAGCAAGATTTCCTGTATTAACAATTTGTTGACCAGGTTACACATTTCTGTTTGCTTGTTTTTTTAAAAAAAGAGACATAGTTTTTAACCTATCTAAGCAAGTTCTTCTACTGGCCATACTGAAGGCAAGGCATAAATTTTAGCCCAGATTCCTCTTCTTCCCTTTTTCTGTGTTCCTTGTTTATTGAAGGTGGTCACACCTTCCATATCACCCTTAAATGAAGAGGTCTTCAACTAGACCTCCATCTTCTGTCACGTTGACATATCTAATGTCTTTGTCTTAAGGTTCCTTCAGTCTCTTATCTCTAGCCATTACCAGTTACACATTGCCACTGTTAACTCTCTCTCATGGACAAAGGAGAAAAAATGAAAGCATTCTTCTAACTGGTTACCTCTCTTTCCTGTTAGTTGTCATGACTTCCAACTATTGAGGATGCCACCTCCTAATCTGTGATCTAAAACAATATGACCACACTGTTTTACTCCTTTCCCTTATACTTTACAACTTTCCATAGTTATTTATGATTTACCTATACACTTCCTCAGTTTATAGCCATTCTTGTCAACTACTGTGGGATGCAGTATCTATAGGTAGTGTGTCATGCAGAACTGGGGCTTGTTGTATGTGTGTGTATGTGTGTGTCCCCATGCAGGTAGGGGTATGTGCTAAAGGTTTAAGCAGAAGAGAGGAGGTTAACTGTTGGCTTAACCTTTCTAAGCCCATCTGCCTTCCCGAAGACAAAGACACAAGCTCTCAACATGTATTATCTTTGCAATACATTTGTTTCAGAAGGGGGTCGTGTTAAGCAAAGGTACGCCAGTGGATAATAAACCTGCTCCACAGTGTCATTTGTGGGTGATTTGAAGAAAAACAGACCATGTAATCAGGTCTAAGGGGGTCTATAATACCAGCAGACGCTGGTGCTGTCAGCTATAGAAAATAATTAGAATGTTATCCCTGTGGCAAGTAGAATGTAAATACATCTAAAATACAACATAATGACATTCTCCTCTGTAAGCCAGGGGATCTGCTTCAAATAAAAGGGCCATTAACACAACAATTAAAGCCAAGGGGGCTGGTTAGGCAGGGAGCCCTCAGCCTGGTGCAGGGTGAGGCAAGTGAGCACGGGGTGTAAATCTTTCGCCATCACAGCCAGGAATGTGACTATTAGCCCTCCTCTGACCCGAGGGCTTCCCAATAATGCATCTGCTCTCTGTCAGGGCCAGGATTTCGTAACATCTTCCTCCAGTGTGCAAAGGCAAGGGACTTTTCCACAAAGCAGAAGAGAATGGGTCAAGGGTGTGCCCACCTCAGCAGTACCACATTGTTTCTTCTTCCACACACAAACATCATACTCCCTGTCCTGCCTGGAAAAGTATTTCAGCACACAGTTTTCTGTGTTTCAGCACATAGTTTCTCTTGAGTAGCCTCTAACTAATACTAGCAGGGAGATTTCTCTTTGGTGTCAATTTAAGCAAGATGTTTATGGCTCTATTGAACAAATATATCAGTGAGCAATTTGTAGTCTTTCAGATGTTATTAGGGCACACCTCCATCAACCTTAGTCAACATAACCAGTAGAGGGGGGATTGTGGGAACTGCAATCTGACAAGATCAGGCCAGCCACAATGTCCCACCCTGTTAATTCATTGCCAGACGGACAACAAGAGTACACTTCCCCTGGAGTATTTAGAGGATTTTCATGGATTCTATCCTTTTAGCTGGTCATTGCTTACTTTCTTCCTCTGAGTCTTAACTCTTCTTCTGTAAAATCAGAATAATAACTTTGACCTAATTAATGTTTATTTGAATATTTTAATCAGTGATAGTAAAGTTCTTTGTTGTGTACGTTCAAATTGTTTCTGATTTATGGTGGCCCTAAGGTGTATCACAGAGTTTTCTGGGGCTGAGTGTGTGTGACTCACCCAAGGTCACCCAATTGGTTTGCATGGCCAAGCAGGGAATCAAACCCTAATCTCCAGAGTTATAATCTAGTGCTCAAATCACTACACCACACTTGCTCTGTACTCACACTGGCTCTAGACTGAATGAAGTAAATGCTGTTATCTTCAGAGATGGGAATGCTTCCTCTTTATTACCAGCTTTGGGAAAGATAACTGTCCCATAAATACTGGACAGATAATGGGAATTACTAACTCTATGGTAATCCACTCAAGAGGAAAACATTATATATATATATATATATATATATATATATATATATATA